ACTGTCTTAACATCAACCGTCTTTCCGTAGTTTGACAGCTGAATTTAAATTTTACAGTGCCATTTACGTTGGGTAGAGATCGATCTGATTGACTTTTGCCACTTTGAAAATGAAATGTTGAATCAGCAGGATGCCCGCATGAGAAAACGGGACAGAGTTAAAACAGAAATTTGAAAGATGTTAAGACACCTTTAGTAGAAGGTGGAGACGTTGGATCAATTCTTTGGAACAGTTTATTATCTGCCGATATTAGGTAAAGCCAAGCCATCATATTTGTTCTTTACTACTGAAATCAGATAAATTTTCGTGGACCCCCACTCAAAACTTGTGAGCCCCTTCTTTCACGCCGACATTGACCCTCGTCTAGTCTCCTATGGACTCTTGGGGGGTCCACCTGGCGGCTAATTGGAGGTACACCTGGAGGTCCACTTGGAGGTCCACATGGAGGTCCACATGGAGGTTCACATGGAGGTCCACATGGAGGTCCACCTGGAGGTCCACCTGGGAGTCCACCTGGGAGTCCACCTGGGAGTCCACCTGGAAGTCCACCTGGAAGTCCACCTGGGAGTCCACCTGGAAGTCCACCCGGGAGTCCACCTGGACCACTTTGGGAATCTCTGGTTTAAGCAAAGAACATATAAAACTAAGAAGATGCATAGTGATTCACACGTCCCAAACAAGAGGCTACTATGCACCTTCTTTGGTTTAAATACAACATGCACATGAATTCACATCCCAGATTGCTCAAAGGGGTCAACATAATAACTACTGGCTTAATCACAGCTATTTCTATTTAACTGAACTTTCAGAATTCAGAATATTTCGCGTTCAGACATACGTACATAAATATGTACTTATTCGCTTTTAAGGAAAAGAAAGAAACAACCTACAAACCTTTCTGCACTTGACCCTTCAGTTGTGCCCGTTTTCATTCACGACATACAGCCCAAGTCAGCGCAATCGTTTAATTTTTATGCATTTGCCCATACTCTAGTACAGTTGGCCATCAGCGTTGCCGTTTTGATCCAATCGGAACTAAAGAGATACTTTTCGCATGAATTTAGGGAGGACACGTTTTTTTTCTCAGTATAAATTTGGTTAAAATTCTTAAGGCCAAAAATTTTGGATTCGGAAATTATTTTTACAAATAGAATAGATAAAATCTTCGATTTAAGAAATCAGTGATAAAACCTTCGATTTAAAGTTTTAGTACAAAACTAAGATTTTTAGTTGCACTGCGTACATTTGTTGCAGTGCTTCGTGTCATAGTTGCTGTTGCTTTTGCTTGTTCTGAATAGTTCGCATGTTAAGAGAACATTGAAAGAGCTCAACTTCGAGCGGCTAACTTATTATTTATTTATTACCCCGGTTCAGAACTATCGACTTTTGTTGTTCGCTTCTCCGTTAGAATCCGTGACCTTAAAGTTTTTGGACGGTGTAATTTGATAATTTGTTTATTACCCAATTAGTTTTTATTCTTGTACGATCATAAAAGTTGTTCAAGTTAGTAAGTATTTTTTTAATCAAATAATAACATAGCTTACATCCCGATTAACCCGTAAATTTGGAGTTATCTCTGTTAATTCTCAAACTTGATGCAAAGACAGAGAACATGCAAAACAAAAGTGGACATCTTCCTCGTTGTCGGTAATGCAAACGCCATACTAATCCAGATAGGAGTCCAATTGAAATTAGATTAGAATTTACATATTTGAATTAGAACGGAGACTGCATCACCAAGTGGAGAAAACGAGTTTGACGTCCGCGGTAAAAATTAAATTTTAGCCAAAGTTTTAGAGATATCAACTTGAAACTTTGTTTGATTTTTAAGAAGAACATGAGTGACTAGTTCCAACTGGTAGCAAAGGGGCCTGTTCCGAACTATCCTAAAAAGACATCAGTTTTGAGATTAAGGTGCTTTAAAGATATATTTTTTTGGAGTAAAACCAAACTAATTGTATGACATATATTCGCCAAATTTGAAGGAAATTTCTTTTGGAAAAAAAATTAAAAATATAGGTTAATAGGACCTTTTTGTACCAAAATGACCGCCAAAGTAAAACAGGGGTAACAAAATTTTGCAATTATGAATTTGTAATGCCCAGATTTCCCTAAAAACTAAAAAACCACCCTCAAAAAAAGTTGATACAATAAGCGGCTTCCTTAATTCGCAATACTGCCGTCTGTCAGGATACAATTAAGATCAGATCAACTGCGCTGTTGCCGTCTGTCTATGCTATAAATCCGACTATTTAGCAGAAAACGAAGCCTACAAATACGTACCACTTAACAATATATATAAGAAAAATATATAAATTTTTATGAATTTTTAAACATTTTCTTTATAATTATGTGGTACATATTTTTAGGCTTTGTTTTCTGCATAAATATTCGGACTTCTAGCATATACTTAATAAATCATTTTGCGATACATTGTGTATACATAAATGACTCGAAATTCAGTAAAAATAGTGACTTTTTATTGGGTAATCTACAGCTGCCGTCAAGATCGACATACATATATGTATCTCGAATACTCATGGAAAGCCGAGGTAATTACGCACATTTTGATACTTTAACTGATTTTCTCGGACAAATAGTTTATTAACTGTAAACAATTGAAAAAAGATACTTCTCCGTGAATTCAAAATTTCGGAATTTTTTTTCTCGAGATTTTGGAATATCATGACCAAATAAAAAAATAGGTATCTTCTTTTTTTCGATAAGGAATGTAAAAAAAAATGTTTCATCCCAAAAAAAATATTGAGGTGTAAATATTGTATGGAATGACCCATATACTAGCGAATGAAAGCAACTCCTCTATATTCTTCTTCTTCTTTATTAGCGCTTTTGGCCGTGTCCAAAACATCACGCCAGTCATTTCTCGTAAAGGCCCGTAAATCTTTCGCATAATTTTTCTCTCGAATACTCCAAAAGCCGCCTCATCGGATGTTGTTATTGTCCATTCTTCTACGCCATAAAACGAGACGGGCATGATAAGCGACTTATAGAGTTTGGGTTTCGTAAGTCGACAGAGATATTTACATCTCAATTGCCTACTCGGTTTAAAAAGCACATGTTGACAAGAAATATTGGCCGTTGGATTTTAAGGCTGCCATTATTATTGGTGTTAATGCGAAGTCGTCTACTTTTTTAAACTTGTAACTGTCAAGAGTTATGTGGGTATGCTCTGACTGTTTGTGTAATGACAGGAGATACTTCGTTTTGTCCTCGTTCACCACCAGACCCGTTCCACTAAAAAATACTAATAAATACTTGTATTTATGTATGTATGTTTACCAGCTAACGAAATTATTAGCCATGCTTTCAGGCATATGTATGCAGGTACATATTTAGTAAGTAAATACTGACTTTTATATTGTATAAAATATTTATCTCATGACTCAGACTTTCATTTTTTGTGAACACTAAATCAGATAAACCAAAAATCTTGCGTCAAAATCGTCATAACGCTCAGCGCATCGTATTAGTTTCAAGGTATTTAAAATTTACTTTCAACTTATTTGAATGACTGGCATAACGCGATATTTAATAAAAAAAACAAAAATGAAATAAATGTATTAATATGTACAGTGGTGGAAGAAATAATAGAAACTTCATATTTTGTGTATACTTCATTTGTTTATCGATGTTTAGTATTTTTTTTTTTATAAAAGTCTAGCATGTTATGTAACATTATATAAAAGGTTCCATATAAATCTACATCGCAAGCTTTTTAAAAAAATTATAAAAACTCAAAAAATTTTACCAAAACTCCCCAAAAATTTCAAACTGTTTTAGAAAATTTTAAGGTAAATATGCAATTTTATGGCCCACTAAAGTTTAGTAGGATAAATTGCATGTTTCAAGAGGCCAGAAAATTGCATTGATTTTTAATAATTTTTTTAGCTGACGATGTTGTGCGCCTAGCAGCGCCAATAAAAACAAAATTATTAAAAATCAACGCGAAATTTCTAAAAAAAATGTTTGAAACTTTTGGTGGACTTTGGAAAAATTTATTGGATTTTTATAGTTTTTGTACAAAGTTTGAATGTCGTTTTATATGATGCTCGTTATATAATGCGCTAGACTTTTATAAAAAAATATTAAAAATCAAATAAACAAAAAAATAAATATAGCCAAAACTGGTCAAAATAAAAAGTGTCTATTATTTCTGCCAGCACTGTATATACCAGTACCTACATCTCACTCTTATATACTCTGCTTTAGTAATTCGTTCGTTTGTCGGAATAAAAACAAAATAAATATTTTTGTCGCACACTTTTCTACCACATTTGGCCGAACTTTTCCTTCAATTCGTCCTTATGTTGTGTCTCACAGATGGTGGGAACTACAGTTGACACCAACTTCGACCGACAGATGGCTGAAATGCTACACTTGGTGATATTTGGCATTGTTTGCCGTCGAAAGGTGACAGCTGTTTGTAAAGATGTTTTGGATAGTTTTTGAATGCTGTGCGCACCAGGGATAGAACTTGGGTACTACCGAATGTTAGTACACACCACTAAATACTCGTCACCGCGGCTGGCGTATATTAAATATAACTACATAGTACTTGTGCTATATTCCCATTTCGGTATCTTAGTACTCTTAAAAATATACGTACGTTGTTTTTACTTAAGTCATTTATCTTATCGTTAATTTTAAATAACTATGTATGTATGTACTACGTATCTGGTGTGTAAAGCTGTTGTTTGCATACCGCTTCTGCATACAAACCTTAGCCACTATAAAGCACTAACCAACCGAGAAGTAGATAAAGTAGCTGCACAATTCAGAACGCTAGTCGCTTTTATTATTATCAAATTGTGATGAAGTAATGAATTAATTGCCTGATAGCTACGCGTGTTGTGCTCCATTTTCGCACAATGACTTTCAACGATTTCTGTAGTGAATGCGAACGATTTGACAAGCGCGAGTGGGGAGATTCACTGACAGCGATGACAGTTTATTTGATTGCGCAAGACAAGACAACACCGTGAATGAATATCTTTGAAAAGGTGATGAGTTACAAATACCTATTAAGTGATCAGCGATCGGTAAATCATTTCGTACAAAAAATGCAAGTGTCAATGGTGTGAAATTTATATTGATGTTTTAAAGCCTAGATAAAAAACTCGCTGACAGTTTGGGATAGTTATAGGACACGTTACTTCTGCCTTTAGTGTTTTTTTTATTAATGTTTTGGGCTGTTTGTTGTGAGTGTTTGTACATAATTTAATTGGTATAACACGAATACTTTTGTGAGTTTTAAAGCTCAAATAATGTGCAAAGTCAATAAATTGGTTTGACTACTCTTATGTTTACCTTTTGGATATATTCGTATTTGCATACATAAGTACATACATACATAGTATATACATAGCTGGATATTTGTTCTTGAATTAGTTATTGTGTCCGATCAGTGTTTGATTTGTGTTTCGGTCTTATGTACAAACATACATTCAACTGGAGTGAAAACCCGTTTTTCGTTATTCGACGGTATTCGCGTGAAATAATTGTGATATTTCGCTTAGAAAAAAACTGGAACTTAAAAAAAAATCGCGAAACATTAGAGAAAGTTTTCACTTGAAATCTGATAAATTTAACATATTATTGAAACTTATTCATATACATAAATGCAAAAACTAGTTGATGTAAGAAAATTAACTTTTTTCAAACCCTGGTAGCGACCCCAATTTTTTTTTAATTAAGAAATTTATTTTATAAAATTTATTATTTATTTATTACACTATCTTTTTCATTGGACAAAAAAAAATCTATAAATTATTGCTATATTTGGATTTCATAACGAAGAGAAATGCATTGGATAGCGAAGGTTCCTTTTTGCTGAAGAATGGCAACCTATTTATTTCACATTCATTATAATAATTATCGAAGGTGCGACGTTTAAAAAAAAATTCGTTTTCCAATCATTTTCGATTTGCCCAATGTTTATTGGTTACATTCACCGAGTACACACACATGAAGATTTGCAATCAGGGTTGCCACTTTGGCAAATTATTACCATAATTGGAAAAAAATTGGGGTCTTGCTAACATATTTGGTTTGAAAAAAAAAATAAAACTTTTCGTTGCCGCTTTATTTTTCGTGGTTATCTTTATATAAAAAATGGCAATTGTTAAACGAAAAAGCCAAAAAATTTTGAAAAGATCAGCGAGAATTCTTAGCTGCACATTATTAGTTATACTTAATTTCCATGGGCTATAAAACTATACCCAAATTCAGAGTAAAAATTTCGAACTTTAGAAGACCTTTTTTTTTTTTTTTGAATTTTTCTAAATGTTGTATATATGTAGCCTTAATCCTTGATGTTTATGGGTTTGGTTAAAGCGCAAACAATATTCTTATAAAAAAAAAACAAAGGAAAAAAATGTTTACTTGAAAAACATTCGAATATAAAAAAAAAATCACCAGGCGGGTTTTTAAGTCACTGTATTTGTGTGCAATAACTGATCTCAAATACCATATCATTAGTTAAATAAAAATTTGAATTTTTATGGAAATAACTAAAAAATAGAGCAAAACTATAGTTTTTGTTAAAACAACTAAAACAATGTTATTGGTAGATACTTTCCAGATTTGGAGGATTTTTTCAAGTGGCAACCCTATTTACAACATTACTACACCTTTGTCATAATGTTGATCGCACGCTATATTTGTGCTGCAATTATGATGCTAAGTATAAAATAGACAGGCGAATTGTCAATCCATTTAAGTGACAAACTCGTCTGTGAAGCAAATGGCTTGCCGTTCAGAATTTATTCCTAGTAGGAAAAATTAATAAATATGCACCTGCAAAATAAGCCATAGAATTCCTTCTTAATACTTTGGATCGTTCAACAACTCCAAACACTTTTACTTGATCTGTCGAATTATTTGTAATATAGGGTGACTCAATAAGTGTGCAGACGTACGCAATAGGGCCCTTGTGTCACGCGCTGGATAACTTTTACGCGTTGTTGAACTATGATTAAGTCTGCCAAAGAGCCTCTAGTACCAAAAATAAACATTAAACATTAACAAGTCCAAATAATTGCTGTCAAAAAACTGCATCATCCAGGTAAAAATTTCTACTTTCCATGTGCGAAAACTTTTTAAAAAAACAGCGGGAAAAATGATTCCAAAATAGTTTCATTATTTTTTGAAAGTTTTTGGTTTTCTTAAGTTCCAATTATTTATGTTGAGAAATTTAGAAAACTAAATATTCAAGAAGGCAATTGTGAATTTCCATGTGGTACTGCATCCACTGTCGCTATGCAGCCCAACATACAGTTCATAAATTGCAGTCAATTGCTCTCAATTGATCGTCTTTTTACAAAAGCGGTCTCAAACAATGCGATGAGCTGCAGATATGTACATACATACGGATAAAAGAAATAGTATTTGCACAATATGTACCTCACATAAATATGTACTTACATTAGTATTTATGTTGAAAATTAGAATACTAAAATTGAATACACTTCAACTAGTTTCTGCGAACTATTTGTTCCAATACAAATTACTACAGTGATATATAGTTTTAACATTTGCTTGTTGATGATATTTTTTGGGCGTTAAAGAGCTCGGAGCTTGAAGAATGGCTTCGAGTGGAAGTAGTAAAAGCTTTTTATTGGTAGCCAAACGCCACAACTTTTAGTCATACCAGCTATCTTTTGGGAAACTACTAAACGCTCAGCTGAAAGCAGGCTAATGTGAGAGAACGAACCCTGGTGGGGCCACATACAGTTATATTTAAATTAAGGGTTCACCACGGTGAGCAGCGCAGGACACCCGTGGTGGCGGTTGCAAACGGGTGTCTGCCTTGCAACAAGCCACCCACTTTACAAATATAATAAAGGAGATTATTTAGTACCATAGAATACGGTCGTCCGCATGTTTTGGGCTCCGCCACGTGGAAGAAGCTTCTAATGAAAAATTACAACAAGCCTCGAACGAGATACCCCACTTTTGATGGCGATCTTAAAAAAAGGTTAAATAATTAAAATTTGGTCAATGAGAGAGCTATCGCTGATGCGAAGAAAGAGCAAGCTGTCCTAAAACGGAGAGATAAGGGCAAACTTCGGTGCCGGATTTGTGAGAGAGAGAGATTTCTTCACCAAATGCTGTAACGTACTTATGCCTCGATGAGAGAGAAAGGTGGCACGACCATTTTCTAATTTTCTAAAAATAAATATATATGTTTTTTTTTTTAACAAAAATTTCGGGTATTCTTTTCCATTTAGAAAAATCCCAGGAGTGATGACTTGAAATTTTAACCTTTTTTATTTTCGACCACTCTAATGTACATACAATGTATATATCCCGCGTGAACTGAATAGGTGTTATGCTTGCTTATGCATCTGGACAATTTCTTAACTCGTCTGATTGTAAATTAGCCTACTGACCCATCGATATCGGCATTGAAATGCTTAATTTAACAAATAAATGTTAAATGCGTGTGTATGCGCATAAATGTTTGTACATTCATATGCAGTAAGCAGAGCATGGATGTCCATGTTGTTTGTATATCAATATGAGAAAAAATATTAATTTCAGATCATTGATTTAATATTCTTAAGGCTGGCCCCCATATAATCATTCGATATTCGCGCTATTGCAGGCAGGTTGCTAAAGCCCGTCTTGTATTTTAACTCTACGTGTTTAGATATAAAAATGTTAAAAATAATACTTTGGCATGTGTTGAAAGGCCATTCTGGGGCACGTTGCGACAGCCTTTATTCCGGCACAACATGTATGAAACCGGGTACCGGCTTGTGTGCAAACCCTAATAACTTCACATATACTTTGATTCGGCTGTCGGACAACTGGAAACCGAGGCATGCGAAACGGGTCTAAAGCTAACAAAGCGACACACTCCATTCCGCTAGGTTAGGTTATTCCAGGAGGGCGTGTGTGGAATATTCCATACTTTCTTTTAGTGAGTATCAGGAGGAGACACGTTCCTATAATAGAAAGAGTAGCTTTAAGTCATTATTCTACTGAAGCAATTACTATCCCTGATGAAGCCGAGGAGATCCAACAGTTCCACCTCCGCTACCTCGCCCAGACTGTTGTTAAAGCGTGAACCCAGGAGCTTGAGTCGCTTCGTCTGTAGACCTAGAAATCGGTCAATTGACTCTTGCTCATCCTCAAAATGGCAGCCTCTGCAGAGAGTACTTGTTGGTACCATTGAAGCATTGGTGCTATAGCACAGTGTCCTATGATGACGCCGGTAAGGACTCTGACGGCAGATCTATCGAGTTTCAGTATGTTCCCTGTCGTTTTCCTACTAAGCCGCGGCCATAACAATCTTGTAATCTCACAGTCTTCCCGTTTGTTTCACAAGTCATTCTTCACGGCCACGGTGTACTCATTAATTTTCCTAATGTGATCACTAAATGGTGGTAGTACGGAGCTATCCGCTTCTTTTGTTTGCATATCTAAGCCGCATCTGGCCATCTCATCAGCCGACTGATTTCCTTCAATTTTACTATGTCCGGGAACCCAGCATAGAGTGACGCTGTTACGTCTCAGTGACGCCAGCGTGGTGCGACATTTTGATACAATTCCCGACTTCACTATTTTAGATCCTATTGCCTTAAGTGCTGCCTGACTGTCGACCAAAATAGTGGTTTCTGGAAGTCTAGTACTAAGTAAAAGACCAGCCGCCCTCTCAATAGCGTAGATCAATACCGGCCAAAACTTGCACATTGTGTAGGTTTTGGTTCGCGTTTTCACACCAATGCTAATGATGTGTATGCATGAAGTTATGCTTTCGCTTCTCACGCGCTTGACACGCACACTTATGCAGATGTTTTAGTAGTAGTGTGGCCGTCACTGGCGTAAATCTTCGCTTAGAAGACAGTGTAGTCGTTCGTTAGACGAAAGGACCACTTGATCTGCAGGTTCTTCACGTAGAGGATTCGGTGCCATGTTTCATCTTTGAACCATCAGTGTAGATGGATATACACCCCTCAGCTACTGGCAGTCCTGCATCCCAGTTTTCTCTGGTCGGGAACCTTGTGGGTATCTTCGTATTGAAGTCCCAAACAGGCGTAATGCAATCAGTGCTGGCTTCTATGTAAGCTTTAATTCCATTTAGCGGGCCCCATTATTGCTGCATGCCCGAAATTGGTTGTCTTCCATGTTTTGGTTTCTCTGAGCCGCAGAGCGCTCTTTGCGGCCGTACCATAGATGAAAGTTTACAGCGGATGGATGAAAATATGGGCGCTACTCACTGCCTCCGATATGCCAAGGCATGCGAGTCCTTGCACATTTCCAAGGACCCGTCGATTGCAATTGATCTGATGACTGGGGTGTACATTCCATAGGTGACGTACGGTAATAGTCCCCATTGCTTTCCAAAGGTCCTTTTGCACGTGTAGTACGTGCTGCTAGATTTTCTTGACTCTGTCCTCTAAATTCTTTTTCCAATTCAACTTGGAGTCCAGAATAATTCCAAGGTATTTTGCCTCGGGGGAGAGATTCATAGTAGATTCCCCTAAAAAAATCTCAAAAATCAACGAGATTTTTAGCCGTTTGAAACTTAAACTTTATAAGACTAAAGTTGTATGGGCTATAAATGTTCTAAAGAATTAGATTTAAAAGTTGAAATTTTGATGAGAATTCGTTAAATTTTGTTTTCTATAAAGTTTGAAACTGTGATTGTGGTTAAAGCTTGCACAATATTTTTATCGAAAAATAACACAAAATTTTAGCTCAAAAAATATTATGAATAGTTACAAAACAAAATCCCCTATTAATCACTTGTTTGAGTCACTGTGCGTTCGGCTATAAACATTTTTATTTTTTAAGTAATTCTACTGGAATAATCGAAATAGTTACTTAGCAATAGTAAATGAGCCTTGGTGAGTTTAAATTTACTAAAATTAGGCTGAAGCGTTATGTTAATAAGAACTGAAATCTGGTGGGTAGCTATTAGAACGGGGTACGTAATGCCATTGAATTTCAAAAGGAAAAAATTTTTTCCTCGAGTCAAGAACGATATGCGATACGTTAAGATCCGACTGTAAATACCGAAGATATGACAAAAAATTTAGAAGGCGACCCCTAAGTTTGGCAAAACAAAAAAGATTTTTTTTTAAGATACCACGCAAAAAAATAAAAATTTCAATAAGTTTCTCGAGAAGATTAAGTAAAAGGATCAAATATGTAGGTGTAATCTGAAAGAAAGTTTACTTGTATTATATGACGATTAAACCATCCCGTTTTCTATTATGTAGATACCGTTAAACGTTTAAATCCAGCATATTAGTAATGTAATCTTTCATTCTTTTTAGATACCATATGGCCACCTCGCACATGAACAATCTACCAGCATGTTAACCATTTAGCGAATTCATAAAACTTATTGATATCCTTCGTTCAAACTGCCAAAAACTTGCCACACTTGCTCAACCAGCATAGCATAATGTCTCTCAATCAGGGAAAGTACAAGCCTAGCATTTGCGCTATCGATGAGGTTGACGATCGCAGCCTCAAAAATGATGATCTCCAAAAGCAGCAACTCGAGGGTAGCGAAACAGCGCCCTTGACCACCAACCAACATAAATTACACATTGATACAAGTAGTCGTGCGGGGAAGGATGTGGAATCGCAAATCGATGATAATATTGAGGGCAACGGTAATAGCAAAGCGGATGGTGGTGTGTCCGGTGGCGCTACTAATGCAGCTGCCAATGGCTTTCGTGGTAAGTAGGAGTGAGCCTCTATCTTTGTCATTGCATTTCATGTAACATCATCAGTTCATGCATTAATTCATATGCCATTGTCATTTCTCATTTCATGTGCTTCTCCATGCCGTCTGCCCGTTAAAGCCTTCCTACTTTCAGGTCGCATGCAGTTAGACGCATTGATGCAGTTGTCACGTAAACGTCGTATACTCTATATAACGACCGTTTGCTTTTGTGCCTTACTCTTAGTCATAATCGTCATGATGATCGCATTCTGGCCGGAGGTGCCATTCTACTTTCGCGCCGAACTGTGTCTTGAGAAGGAGTGCGTGCAAACCAGTCAACAGTTGCTTTTATGGGCCAATATTTCAAAAAATCCCTGCCACGACACCTACGAGTGGGCGTGTGGTAATTTTGCACGTGAATATGCGGAGAATGATTACTATGTAATAAAGCGTGGCGAATGGAATTACAAGACCTATACTGAATATGAAGGTAAGCAGTACGTTGCAATTCTTATTTTGTGGTTTATGTATATTTTAATTCATTTGCTTTATTTTCTACATATGTCCCACTGAAGAGCTGAATGAGCTGAACCGTTTCATATCGATGTTGCCATCATCTGGCGNTTAGTGCAGTCAATATGGCTCTAATGTAGGTGTACATGGAAAAAATCCACACAGGACAAAAAAATAGTACCATGCTGTTCAGAAACCAATTATAATCAAAAAAGGACAATTTGATAGGAAATATTTTTCACTAATCAGACTACTAGCCCTGACGCACAATTTGAAAAATGTGCAAAAAGCGGTCGTACTTTACTTCTACAAGGATTCTTTCACGGTGATTTAAAAATAAAGTCGGGATTTTTTTACCGGCTGCCAATTTCGAAAAACCCGGGTTTTTAGGTCCCGTTACCAATTTTGAGAAAAATTTGTTATCGTTATTTTGAAAATAAAATCGCTTTTCGTACTGGTTACTAACTTCGAAAAATCCGAAATTCGGGTACGGGTTACCAATTTCTTAAAGAGCGGAGTAGCAATTATCGAAATATCACAGTTTAATTTTTTTGAAAAATACTATACTATGGGAAGTGGGCGTGGTTATGCACCGATTTCAAAATTTACCAATGTCATGAAAAGATTCATTGAATGAGTTTTGAGATTTTTTTTAGTTTCGAAAGGAAGATTTAATAAATGAATACATATTGTCAAAAAAAAAGAATCCGAGAATAGTGGGAGTGATGAAGAACCAATTTTTAATGATTTGATATGAATAAACCATGAGAATATTTGTTTAATAGATTTTTAAATTCGTTTTTGCTCTTTACACATATAAAAAATGGTCGGAAAAATTCCGCTTTTTACGAAATCTGTACCCAGTAGCAAAAAATTGAATTTTCCGAAAATTGTAACCGGTACAAAGAAGCGATTTCATTTTTGAGATAACCATAATAAAATTAAATAGGTAACTGGTCCTAAAAACCCGGGTTTTTCGAAATTGGTAGCCTTTACAAAAAGAAAAACCCATTTCACTTTTGAAATCACCGCGAAGTAATCCTTGTAGGAGTAAAGTTTCAACAAGTACGACCACTTCTTGCATATTTCTACATTTTCCCATTTGTGGGTCAGTGCTAGTAGAGTAATTTTTACTTCCTCCAGGCGAGTTTGTGGAAACTGTCAAACTGTCAGAAGAGCATGAAGAATTTTGAACATTCAAAATATTAATTTAACGTTATACCTTTGGAAAAATTACCCAATGTGAACTTTTCGGCCGGCGCTGGTTTAAAGAAGTCCTGTCTGAAATCGTTTAGTTAGAAGCGATCTTAAAAGTGTCGACAGTGGTTCTTATGATCTCGATGCCCTTTCACGTAATCTGCTTGCAGGTTAACAGGTTTTCCTTAGGAGCAAAAGAGTAACTTAAAACCTATTTTGTATTCGAGTAATATATCCCTCGCCCTGGCTCTGAAAGATAACTTCGGGTTTTACTTATATTGAGTACTTGAAGTTCCTTTGTGCGGGAATTTTTATACCCGAGCGTACCTGTTCACAAAGGTATTATAACTTTGTTCGTATAACGGTTGTTTGTAACAGCCGAAACGAATTGAGATAGATATAGACAAATGTATAAATAAATGCTTAGAATGAAACGAGAAATCGATTAAGCCATGTCTGTCCGTCCGTCTGTCTGTCCGTGTATACGATAACTCGAGAAAAAAATTGAGATATGTCCACGAAATTTGGTAGGTAAGTTTCTCCTTATCCAAGGTAGGTTGGGACTGAAAAGGGGGCGACATCGGTACGAACATTGCTTAGATCCCCACCAAGGAACCCTTTGAAAATTTTTAAAATGAGGCAAGAACCATGCCTACCTCCCACGGTAATTTACAAAAATACGAAAACTGCAATAAATTAGTAACTATGTGTTTTTCAGAGAAGGAGGCATCGGAAGCCTAACCCCGTCAGTTTGAGACTTTAACCCACCTAACTGCCTACCGTCTATATACCGATACCACGGTAGCACCGTTTGGTATTTCGTCAGGAGGTGGTTTTGCGCACTAAGCTCTACGGCCGTTACTGTTCATTTTATTCCTCTGTTGTGTTGGTTGGCATTAACCTACCACTAAGAAGTTCGTTTCTATGTAAGTCTAGTACTGACGAGATTCAAAGCGGTGTATACTTTTAAACAGCCGTGCACACTGCTGATTTGAGTCAAGCAGTTGTCTACCTCTCCATGCTACTTATTGCGCCAGATGTAAATTTTCGGTTAAGGAGGAAGGTTCACCTGCCATTTGTTGTGCTATCCCAACGATGAGTGTTGCATCTTCGGAAACAGTTCAGTAAGCTGAACATATTCTAAGATCACGTAAGCGGTATGTAGCATTGATGCTTCGTATGTAGGATGCCAGTTTGGAAGCGTCACACCATACTGTCGATCAGTAAAGGAGTATTGAACTCAGTACCTCCGCCAAGACCGAGATCTTTTACATGCTGCTTGGACTGTATAATGGTTTTCCCTAAATGATTTCACCTTCTATCGACTACTGATAAAAACGGCTTCCGTACCCGAACTGCTCCCCACCTAGCCCCGAACTGGTCCTGAACAAGCCCCGCCTTTTAAGTCTTAAACAATTTTTTCGCACTCAAAATTATTAGGAAAAGACTTTTATAATAGAAATCTTAAAATACAAGTCTTTGAAGACTAAAAAATATTTATCTCACTGATTATTATTATGAAAAAACTTTTATAATATAAGGCTTAAAATAAAAGTCTTTGAAAACTTAATAATAATTATCTCTGATAACACTATGCGACAGTCAAAATCGGGATGGGATGAAACCAACGGGAAATGTTATATCGGTAAAAAACAAGTTATACGTGGCCCGACGTTTCGCTGGGTCACGTCTAGGAATCGAGATATATCGATTTGAAGTTAGTAACTATCATATAGGGGATATTGTTACCTTTGGTGGTCTTTTTTTGACATAACTCGAGAACCACTAGTCCGATTTTGCTCAAACAAATTTAAAAATTACAATTCCTTTAATCTGTTCATATAACATTTTTCTATATAATCAACAGTTTTGCCGGTAAAAATAAATGTATGAAGAAAAAAAATATTTTTTGCCTAAAATATAAAATTTTTTTATTTTTTAAATTCATAAAAAATCCAAAACGGAAAAAAGGCAAGTGGTATTACTTTCACGCAAAGTCACATAACCCTTAAGCAAAATGAGACATAGATCATGAAAATCGATGGACGCGTTTCGCTTTTATTCAGAATTAAGTGAAAAGGTATCTCATTTTTTTCATGATCTATGTCTATATTTTTTTAGCTTCATACATTTATTTTTACCGGCAAAACTGTTGATTATATAGAAAAATGTTATATGAACAGATTAAAGGAATTGTAATTTTTAAATTTGTTTGAGCAAAATCGGACTAGTGGTTCTCGAGTTATGTCAAAAAAAGACCACCAAAGGTAACAATATCCCCTATATGATAGTTACTAACTTCAAATCGATATATCTCGATTCCTAGACGTGACCCAGCGAAACGCCGTGACAGGTATAACTTCTTTTTTACCTATATAACTTTCCCCGGTAGTTTGAACCCTTCCCGATCACTGACCCCTACCATTTGTCTCACAGTGTAATTATTACGAAAGGACTTTTATAATATATGTAAGTCCTTGAATAATGATTATAGTTGATTGAAAATTTTGTTATCTGAATATAATAACAGTTGATTGACTTTTATTCTTTTCTCTTATAATAGCTATCCAACGTTTTTTTTGTTTATTCAAACCGATTTTATGGATTGCATGGTTTGCTAAGTTTTCCCCATAGGAAATCCGGTTCTACGATGTATTCCATTTGCCCCGTGCAGGGTTTTGCAAGACTTAGAGAAAACCCCTAGTGTATATAGCTTTGCTATACATTACTCAAGTTTTTCTTTCATAAATATGTTCACATTTCCAATTTATTTATTTATTTTTTTTACTTTTTAAAATCACCAACAATTTAGCTATATATTAGGACTTCCAATATACATATAAGTATTTTTTATTCAAAAAAGGATTATCGTTTATTTATTTGAGTAACATTTAACAAAATATTTTTTTTTTAAGTAATCTCAGTTGTTTACATTTTTTATTCTACAATCCACTTGTCATAACAATATAATCTGAAAAACGCGAAATTTTTGGCCTTTTACACTACTTTGGATGGTGGCAAGTAGGTGGATGATTTAGCGCCACTTAAACCGGAACCGCTTTGGCTAACACCAATGCTTGTAGTGGAAGCACCAACGAAGCCACTACCACTAATGTCACCAATGCCAGCACCACTTCCAGAGCCATAACTGCTACCAGCAATACCACCGCCAACGCCGTGGCTGCCACTGGCTGAACCAACGCCACCAACGCCACCATCCAGTATACCAACAACCGATTGTTGTTGGCCAATGCCGCCATTGGTGTGCTCGGATGTGCCTTCGATTTTATCATACTCGGCTGTAAGCAGAAAAATATTCGCAATTAATACATACTAGCTAGTTAGTGTAGTACTTATTACACTTTGCTGCTTTTACTTACCTTGAATTTGTTGTTGTGCATGATGCGCCTCTTCTTCGGTCTTGTATTTGATAAAGAATACCTCTGGTTTGGCGGGCACTGTGGGTGCGGGTGTGGCTATATCGTTGACCTCGAGTGTGGAGTCCTTTTTGGACAACACATAAATGACAGTCTTTTCTTCTTGTGGCGCATATTCCGCAGACAATTTGACATTTGCTGAGCTCGAGGATGGCGCCTTAATAAAGACAACACGATAGTTCTTTTGTGGGCGTCCAATAACGAAATGCTTGCTTTGCTCAAGCGATTCATGATCCTCTGGCGCTGAAACGGTTATGAATTGTTTGTGTACAAGGGGAGCTTCAAACCCGCCCGATTGTTGTCGTCCACCAAAGCCAGCATTGAAGGAGCTGCCACCAATACTGCTGAAACCTCCGCTTATGCCGCTGCCAAAACCACCACCACTGCTGATGCCATTGCTACCGCTTTGGTAGTGTCCAAAGCTTGGTGCATTGCTGCTGGCGCTACCAAAGCTTGGTGCACTGTTGCTAGCGCTACCAAAGCCTCCGTAACTGCTGCTGCTGCCACCTCCAATGGGTGCACCACTTATGCTCCCAAGTCCGCTCAGTCCACCAACGAAGTTTCCACTACTTTGGTAACGGCCGACGTTAGCACTGCCGCCTGAGATGCCAGTACCATAATTGTATCCTTGTGGTTTGGCATGGGCGATGGCGGCCAACGAGCAGCAAAGTACCTAAACATGTTTTGGGGGGGAAAGAAGAGTGAGGTTTGTTTACTGTTAATTCGTGTTTAATCCTTTTGATGTGCGAGAGTGATAAATTACCAAAAAAAGACGCATTCTCTGACGAATTGTTTGTTTGTATAACCTCAACGTTAAATTCCCACTGTTCGCTGTCCGCAGTGAAACTGATGTCTTCGGTCCAGCTGATTGTGGTTTTTATAGTTAAAAGATCATGCAGATAGCCTACTGGTTCATCATTGCCAATTAACTACCGGGTTTTGGGCTTCCAGTTATTTGAAAACTAGAAAAGGTAAAACTAAAAACATATTTATACGCCCAACAATTTAATAACTATATTTTTTATAAACATATTTAACTAAAATTTTTTTACTGACGCTGACTTTTTGTTGGCCTTTCAATCTCCTTGCTGATTAATTGGCGCTTAATTACGAGAGTTACTAAACCGTTGGCACGCACGCTCATTCATCGCTCAGCTAATTTTTTCCTTGTCAAATGCCAAACATTATTAATACATAGATTGTTATAATAGTTTTCTTAATCTTACTTCCAAAGAGCTCCCCGCACTTCTGGTTGCTTAAGACGCTCGCGTCTGTTGACTGACATGTTCAAACAACTTTAAATTTTTGTTTTTTTTGCTGTTACTTGCTTCTGCTGACTGATGAGTACTGTTTTAATTACCTTTGCAGGCGGTTTGACACCTTAATTGTTTAAAGCTAATTAATACTTCGCCAAACGCATTGACGGATTCATGTATTTGCATGGCAAAAGTATAATGCAATGACGGTGGCAGGGCGGAAGGTTAAAGGTTTTCGACAGCTATTTGTTTTAATCATTTTTTGCATCAGCGAATACGCACATTAATCAAAGTATCTTCATCGTATTTCATTGCATTTTCGTTCAACTTCCTTTAATTGCTTTGTTCGATATGCAAATATGACTTTGCGCGGTTTCGCGAATTCATCAACTCAATATGCATTTGAAAAACTACATAGAATTTCGCGAAAATCATTTATTTTGTTGAATTTTTGTACCGTAGCCGGTCTATTAGTCATTTCTTATTGTGTTCAGATAACTAGTTTCATTTTAACATAATTTTTGCCAAACGATCATCGGTTATTAATTTTACGCCACTGCATCTGAAAATGCAAACAAATAAAAAAAGTTTTTTCTTTTGAGGAAATACATGTGTACCGATAATTAGTAGAGAGATTAATAGCACCATATCTATTATTTTATTTTACCACTCTTCAGGAAACAAGCTTATCTACCTCTAAATAAAAAGACCATTGACTTCTCGGTTTAGTGTTAATTTGATATAAACTTCCATCGATGACTGAAGTGGCAAACAACTGACCATAATACAAACCAAAATCTGTCCCGAGCACAATTTTAGACTAGGGACAGAAAATAATCGATTTTTTCTAAACACTGAACTTTTGGAAGGTATCAAGGTATTCGAATTGTTCTTTACCTTATCAGTTAGTGAAGTTCAGCCAAATAATCTAGATATTTTCAGTGAAATCTTATTGATATCGGATTCAATGGTATTCCACTGGGGTGTTCGATTATTCGCCTTATTACAAAAGCCAGCGTTGCTGCGTCTGGTGTTAAAATGCAACGACCCTATTAAGCTGGCATTTCAGAATACTATTTTATATATATATAACGAAAATTTGAAAGTTAGGGGGGGCGGCTCGAGCACCCCCTGCCCCTACCTGGCTACGCCCATGNTTGCGATGAAAAAACTTCATGTCGCAAAGGAGGCCATCCAAACATATCCAATGTTCCTAAAAACAGTGGTAGACATACTTTTTCCCAATCAGAGGTGACTGTTTTCCTTTACTTCAAGGGAGCTCTTAAACTCATTTGATGAAGTCACCAACGACGAAGTTCTCCAAGCTGCAAAAGGACTCGAGGATGAGAAGTCTCCCGGCCCGGACGAGGTCCCTAATTTAGTTTTGAAACTGGCGATCACCAATTTTGTATCGGCGTTCACGGACCCGGTAAACCTCTATCGGAACCTTCGAGTTACAGGCCCATATGTCTGCTCGACTCGGCGGGAAGATTCCTTGAGCGTGTTGTATGCAATCGTCTTGAAAACGAAATCCAAGTTTGGCTTCCGAAAAGGGAGATCCACCATTCACGCAGTAAACTTTGTTATCCAGCTGACACGCGAAGCAATAAGTGGCTCGCGTTGGCTCGGAGGTACCAAAGAATATTGCTTAGTAGTAACCCTCGACATTAAAAATGCGTTTAATTCGGCGAACTGAGCAAAAGTTCTAGACGCACTGGATCATATCGGGGTACCTTTGTACCGTATGCTTATACGAAGCTACTTCGAAGACCGCTGGCTGCAGTACGAAACCTCGGCAGGTATTAAATATCAAAAAATCTCAAGTGGAGTCCCCCAAGGTTCTGTGCTTGGCCTTTTACTTTGGAAAATTATGTACGACAGAGTTCTTCGCCTCAAAATATCCAAGGCGACAGAGGTAATTGGTTTTGCGGATGACATCGCGGTAGTGGTTACTGCGAAACACTTAAGCGAAATTGGCGAAAAAGGCAATAAAGCCGTAGAAGCTGTATAAACGTGGCTTCAAAAAATGGCCTTAAGCTTGCGGAGCAGAAAACGGAGTCACCATACAAATTGGCGAACACAGGGTCACTACTCTGCCCCATGTCAAGTACCTTGATATTATTGTTAGATAAGATTATGTTAGAATAGAGGGTTAAGGAACTATACGGGACCTAATAATTTCGTGTTGTACTCGAGCATAGCTACAACCTTCACTAGATTTTGTTTCGGTTGTATTTCATGACTTTTTTTTTAGATCCGACCGAACTCGAGTTTTTAGCCGAAACCGAAACCGAACCGAACACTCGGTTTTTTCTTGAAGTTCGGCCGGAACCGAACCGAACCCGAACTTTTTAGAGTAAAAATTACATAAGCATTATATACCGCAAATTAATTAATTAAAAGCATTGTTTCTCAAAAACTCGAACTTTTTTTCACACGGCAAGACTCGATTAGTTTGACTGCACTTGCAGCAGAAATAAAAATTACTAGTGCAGCACGAGCAAGTTGCAATTGCAGTCACATTTTTAAAATTTTTGTTTCTGAAACTGATTTCCAAAATGTGACAGAAAGTTCTCTCTGGCTATTAACACGTGCAACTAAAATTTCTTTCTCAATTTGACATTGAAATACAAGGCAAATTTGCAAACTTAACATACAAGAAGTGTTATCGGGCATTGCAATTTCGGGAAGGAAATAAAATTAAAAGAACGACGAGAAACAAGAAAGTTGCTATAAAAAAGCCATAAAATCAAATTACAGGAACGCTATAAAGGCACTTAAATAAATAAGAAAAACTTTAATGTTTATAATTTGTAAAAATAAACTTTTCGGCCAATTTTGGACGAAACCAAACCGAACCCGAACACGAACTTCATGGCCGAATTGGTCGGTAACCGAACCTGAACCCGAACGCTCAGTAGCACCTTGTAATCCTAATTGCTTGCAATTCTTGATTGTATGTAAATATTTTGTATGCATGTATTTTCACGAATTTATTGCTCGCTAGATCTGAGTACCTGCTAAATGTCAACAAAACATCATTAAATGCACATACAGCATGCCGCATGTAAACATATTTTTTTTTGTATAAAAATTCACTCAATAAATTGTTGAATTTGATTCTTTATCTTCTTCAATTGCTTTATTCATAGCTCCTTCATAGTTATTACAAGCCAAAGAAATAACTCAGCTCCGCTCCAGGTACAGTACGGCCGATGTGTAATGTTGAAAAATGAAGTAGTATGTAACATATTTCGTTCTGAAATTGTATTTAAAAAGTGTTTAATCCTCTCTGTGTACACTGTTACTATAAATTAGTACCTTCTATGTATGGAAATTAATCGTCATGTAAGTTTCGAAAACGACTTAGAAAGCATTTTTCCGTCTGATGTCTGATAAACACCAACAACACTTCGCAACTAAAAAATATTTCGCTTCCTATAATCTTTAAGACTCAACTAAACGCTACTTAATTCGTATTGTGTGTATGCAGAGCGGTGAACGAGTTCAAAACACACTCTTGAACTGGAGCAACACAAAATGAGACTATTGTCGCGACAAAAAAAAAGTGTATTGCCATAAAATACTGTTTGAGTGAAACTCTTTGAGCATATAGTATGTATGTATGTAAATTAAAGCAAACGCTATGGTGGTCGCTTATTATACGTTCTTAAATCCGGCTTTTATATTTTAAAATCTTTTAGCGGAAACTAAAAATACAGTTGAGGCGCGATTATCCCAACTCAAAGAGCAAGTAAAGGATAAACAGAAAAGACAGATACATACCTAAAAAAAAAAAGTGTAATTTATAAAAAATTTAATGTGTTACTGTGGGCTCAAAAATTTGTTTAAATTTTTTTTTCAAAAAGTTAAATATTTTTAAAATTCAATATATTCTCTTAATTTTTTTTTATAAATATCATGTTTTTCTAGGTTTAATTAACAATATCATGCTGGATTTTTGCAAAGCTCTTTGCTATACTTAAATACAACAAAATGGCCAAGTATTAAGAAAATCTGAAACTCACTAGGTCTCCGGAAAATGGAATGCCCCATATAGAAAATTCCATGTCAACCGAATTATGACTGGGATCCAAGATTTGTTTCTAATCATACATATGTACATATATACAGTTGCGAGTAAAATAATAGCAGTAAAATTTAAAATTATGATGCTGGTAACTTATGTTTATTTATTCATTGTTAATAATTTTGCTTTAAATTATGGGTCGATCTGTATCAGAAATGAAAGTTTCCAAGCTTGCACAAAGTTCACAAAAATTAATTGAACTTAAAAATTCTTCATCAAAATTTCGATTTTTTAAATCAGATTTCTTAGAAAGGTTTCGAGTGTGCAGTTTTTTAACTCATTCAATGTTAGTAAAATAGAGTGCAAGTTTGAAGTCGCTAAAAATTACGTTTGATTTTTTGGAATTTTTTTTCGAGGGTGTGTACATTTTCTTCCATATAAAAATAAATTTGGTTCATCGTTTTATATATACAAATATATTCAAACAGCTAA